GACGCGTGGTAGTCACAGATGCAACGTTAACAGTCACATTGTTCTCACGCACTACCGGACGCTGTAATAATGACGTTCATACAGACAAGTTGTATTTCCTCTACACCTACACAAACTTTACTCTCATTGTTAGGATTCCGCATACTTGCAAAACAATGGAAGTCAACACCTTATGTGAACTCGGGTGACTGTTTGTCCGTCTGTCACAGTTTGTTTTCTTCTAATCTTCTGGTCGGAAAAATTGACACATACATCTATTTATATGAAAGGCTTTAATAATAATAATAATAATAATAATAATAATAATATTTATTGCAAAGGTATACACCCAATTTATAATATAATAACATATATGTAGTTATACAAGTCAATTTTTATATCACTTATGCATATATATGCAAGTCAATAAAAACATTATAAAAACAAAATTCAGTCAGACTCTTCATTAAATTAAACTAGAATTAAAAACAATATATCGCTGTTGAGTATATAGGCCATTACTACTAAATCTATAAGAATCTATTTTTTATTAGCCTCCTGATGCACCGAAAGCCAAAACTTAAGAATCGTGCAGTCAAAAGTTTTTACCAACTTGGCAAGGATCTCGTTGTTAGAGACTCTCAAACGATTCCAAAATGAAGCGATTCGTGATCTAATTATCGCGAAAAAATCAGGCACTCGAGCTTTTGCAAACATATCGGAAGCGCTGCAGTATCTGGGCAATTTCATCAGGATACGATATGCGTCATTATATTGTACCCTAATGTTCTTAATCGCTCGCCTAGGAAATTTTACCCAAAGCTGACATGTATAAAAACATAAGCAATATGTTTTAAATAATGTCACCTTCACATCATCACTGCACTTCCCAAATCTACGCGCGAGCATATTGCATCTCACAGCTAGCCCCCGGCGTTCTCTCTCTATATCGTCCCTGTCATCAAGTTTGTCAGTTAGAATATGGCCTAGATACCTAAACCGCTCAACCCTCTCTATTAATAACCCTTCTAAATATATGCCCGGAATCGTCTCCGGACCTCTGCCAGCCCGAAATACCATCATAACTGTCTTCTTAACGTTATATTTCAAGCCATGATCAGCAGCATAATGTTCGCAGATTGCTAAGAGTTTACGTAGCCCTCTGATTGAGGGACTAAGAAGTACCATGTCGTCAGCATAACTGAAATTATTCATGCAAGTTGATCCAACATGACAACCAACTCTGGCACTTCTTAATTCCTCAATCAGGTTGTTTATGTAAAGGCTAAATAGGTCCGGAGAGGTCAACCCTCCTTGACGCACACCGCATTCTAGCTTATATTCGCTAGATGTCGCGTCGCCCCATCTCACGCTATTTAATTGGTTCTCATACCAGTATCTCAACAGATTGACAGTCTTTATTGGGACATCAGAAGCATGCAGTTTCTCCCAAAGTAAATTATAATTTACTAGGTCGAAGGCACGACTCAGGTCCAAAAAGCAGGCATATACAGATGTGCCCCTATTAATATAGTGGTTGACCGTTGCCTTCAAGCTGAAAATTGCCGAGTCTGTTGAAAGACCAGAACGAAAACCAAACTGAGCATCACTCAACTTTATATTCTCTTTTACATCCGAATAAATGAGTCTTTCTAGTATCTTTCCTAATATAGTTCCTAACGAAATCGGCCTATAATTTTTGGTACTAGAAAGGTCGCCTGTTTTGTTTTTAGGAATAGGAACTACCACAGTCTTCATGAGTTGCTTCGGTAGGTAACCAACATTCATACATACACTATAAAGGCTGGCTAGTACCCTATATATCTCATCACCAGCATACAATATATGTTCTATACCTAAACCATCTAAACCTGGAGACTTACCTCTCTTCATTTTGCTTACTACCGTAGCCACGTCCTCAGCAGTAAAACATACATTGACAGTCGTGTCACTCTTCTGTATACTACTCACCTGACGAGTCGCCAACGGATCAACCCTGAAGTGGTGTGAAAACAAATCAGCGATTTTCCTCCTATCACTTATACCGTCTACTGCCACAGGAACACTAGTTTTATAATTAAATGAGTTTGTAGTACGCCAAAATCTTATAAAATTCTTTTCAGATTTATGAGTTGCCAACATGTCTAATTTAATTTTTTCTTGATTGTTTTGGCACCACTTCAGCTTGTTCTTAAACCTATTACGGCTTACGATCATGTTATTATACAATTCACCCGCATTTGGCTTATTGTTAAAACTCCACCATGCATAATGCAATTTCGCAATTTGGTGACAGTCTTTTACATGATAGTTCCATCCACAGACTTTCTTAGGCTTTTTCGGTGCATCATTTTGCTTTATTGCGCTATTAATGGCTCCAGTTTGCAATACCTTTACAATTTTATCATAAAATTCATCAATTAAAAACAAATGATCTTTACAATTATAAAATAAACAATTATCACATTGACTAGATAGACTTAAAGAACCTAAATTATCACAGCAGTACTTAGAATATAAACTAATTTGTTCATCTCGCCTTTGGCCCCATCTAATACCATTTAACCAGTTAATGCTCGTCAAAGTAATTTTACTTATTACCACATTCATTTTACACGTAATTACTAAGGGAAAGTGGTCCGACCAATAAACACCATAGTCCACGTGCACCGACTTGACAGTAGCCCTAGCAGCACTTGACACCACACAATGATCAAGCCATCTCCTAGCTCCGTTTGCTTCACTCACGAAGGTATGCGTATCACTTGGCATTAGGTCTTTATCCACACACACTAGAGCGTGCTCCACACAGAATTCCAGTAGTTCTTTTCCAAATCTAGCGCTAGGATGTGCATTAAAATCTCCTAACACATATATAGCCTCCGCACTACTGTCATCAATTAATGCTTCTATGCCGGCCAAACAGTCCGTAAACGCAACTAGGTTTTCTTCCGAATCGGTTGGTAAATATACAGTTAAGATCAAAAATTGACGACAGCCCATATTAATTTGCACCGCCGCCAATCTATCACTCGTACAGTTAATGACTGTGACATCGGAAAACATTGATTTTCTCCATAATAAAGCTAAGCCACCGTATGGGCGTCCTCTCAGGATACCTGATGTCGTATCAATTGATGACTTGGCGAAGCATCCAAAGTCTGCACTGATTTCGTTAATAAAACCAAGGTCATGAGGTAAAAGCCACGTTTCCTGTAAAGCCACAATATCAGAAAATCGACATATAGATCTTATTTGTTCTACAGATCTCTTTACGCTTTTACAGTTAAATGTAACCATTTTCACCAATAATTCATTAGAACTATCCATTAAGTTTTTTATTAAGGACGGTAGGTTGTCTACGTTCACGAAATCTTCGATAAACAAGACCCGCGGGCCAGAAGTTAGTATCCAAAAAGGTATCTATTTTACTCGTCGGTATTGTTACTTTAAAAGAATTAAACGACGTTTCATTAAACTGCTGTAGTAACTCCACGTTAGAACATTGTTCACCCATGTCCGTAATATGGTCGATTATATCCGATACAGTGACAGATTTCATCGCACGAGAAACGTAAATCGAACATTGAGATTCTACGACTCGTATCTTTCCCGTAGTTTCACAAGTTCCTCGCAAATTATTAATTTTATATTTACGTTTTTTATTCTTAACTAATGTAAAGTTATCATCGCAATCAAACTGCTCGTTATCGTTCGACTTTGAACTTAGTCCGTTCTTACTAAGCATGCGAATCTCATCTTTCGGTGTCGTTCGCATATGGTCGAATTTAGTACGTCGCGGGCGCAACACTTTGCGTACAATATCCCTATACGTTGGCGTAAATTCTGCTTCAACCGGTTTCGTATTGTTAGTACGTGGTATAGGCATAAGCGGTAGCGTGTTTGAATGCACCATGCTTTGTCCTGACTGACTGATGCATCAATGCACAACCTAAACTTCTTCCTAAACGTGAAATTTGGAGGGCATATTCCTTATATGATGAGGCATCCGATAAGAAAATAAAATGGCACTCTATATAATATGTAACTTTAAGAAGGAGGAGAAGGACTACCCACTATTTATAAAATATCAACAGTGGCATCAAAGTACCTTACAATATTTGTTGATATTTAATTCTAAACAATTTAAATATTTTTAATAAGTATTATAATCAAATATAGCAATATTATTTATTTAATTTTAGCTGTTATTATTATAAATATGTCAATTTTTCTTAAAACTTTATTAATTACTAATATTATTTATTGCTTGCACTGTCTGTAACAAGTATAGGTAAAACGCCTTTGAGACGTCTAAGACTTAGTCTGTCCCGTGACCATAATTGCTGTAAAGCATTCCAAACGTCGGGAACCAAAAATCAAAATAAATACGCGAAATAATCTGAAAAAATTGTTTAATTTAAAATAAAATTTTTATTGTATTTTGTAAATGTGCTAGTAAAAATAACACAAAATTCCGCGGCACGGAACCCTTTATGTGCTATTACCATCACCTACCATCAAATTATAATTTGTTATAACATACACCTAGAAAATTTTTTGTAGCTTGAATGCGGACGAAACCGCGGGATCTGCTAGTATTAAGATAAAGTTAGCCTCTTTAGGTTAAATTATGGGGTAAATAAATAAATCTGACTCTCAGTACATTTTGAGTACATTACAGTTTTTCAAGAGTGTCATGTGATAAAGAAATAAAACTCTCTTACGAAGAATAAAGTAAAAAGTTAAAAATACATAAAAAATTAAAAATTAAAATTAAATTGTAAATATATATATATATATATATATATATATATAATACGATAATAATAATAGCACAATAATATAGACGCAAATTAAAACATTTCATTAATTAGACAATAAACAAAAACTCTTAAACTTTATAAGCAACAAAATTTAATGTGAGCGTAAATTTAAAATTAAGATACTACAGCCGTTAATTTGGAAATTTAAATATTTGTAGAGTCTCGAAAAACAGGCGAAATAGAGCTTTTTCCATAATGGAATCGCAGCAAGGAAACGGCTCGCAGATGGCAGTACTGCTAATAGACGCGCTGTTTAGCGAGTGCGAGCTTCCGGACCGGTCGAAACGGAAATGGTGCCTCCCAGTAGACAACCTTCATTTCCTCTGCAGTCCTTTGCGTTCACTCCTTGGGGTGGTAATCTGCTTGAGCTTAGATTACGACAATTCGTTATGCTCCTTCATCATATCGTTTAAATTATGGAGATAACTACAAATAAATTATATAAATTAATAAATTTTTAAATTTTCATATTTTCATAGCCTTTCCTTTAAAAAATCATACATTTTGATATTTGCTGTAAAGCGTTCGAAACGTCGGGAACCAAAAATCCAAATAAATTCGCGAAAAATCCGAAAAGACAGTTTTATTTAAAATTTCAAATATTCGCGTAAATCTAAGAAAGTATTATTTATACATATATTCTCTTAACATACATTAATTATTTATAGCGGCAACGGGACAATATAAAAGTATAAAATAAGCTACATCGTAACTAATCAATCAATATAAAAATGTTTCAAGAAAGTAATAAATAAAATTTGAATGGAATTTTCTCCACCGATCATAAATATGCAGAACCACTTCCTCTAATTAGAGTGAAAGCGCAGAGGAAAAAAAATTAAAAAAAATTGTTCTGTTCATAAACGTCGCGCGCCATTCGTGTATCAGAATAATTTATCTAGGCACCGTAATTTATGCAAGAAGTACGCACCCTCAAATAACATTTCTTTCAAATATTAAATCCTTTTTGTTTTAAATGCGCCAAAGGAACAATAAAGCGGACTGTCGGCGGGAATGGAAGACAACAGGATTGCGACGGGTGTTGTCACACGTTTTCTCACAAATGAACATCGAGCAACGAGTATCTAGCGAACAATCCATTGTCATAGATGACTTTTTGTTTGTTCATTTAACAATGCATATCGACTTCGATTACAGCACAGCGAATATTTTGTACTACCCTATCACTACATATATCTTTGTTCTTCGTTTTCAAGGTGGGGTTTGGAACTGCAATATATGAGTAGTGCTGTTTTTTATTTATATTTATTGAAACTGGATATATTGGCCTTACAATCGAACGAAGCCTATACATCAGAGCGTTACAGTCGACGGAGTTTTAATATTAAAGGATGAGAACATGTGGCTCAAATGAGTTCACATCAATAGTATTTTTGACAATAATCAATCTGCTGCATGTACTCCGTGCATTGAGCTCTAGCAGCTATAATTATAATTCAGTATAAATACAATTAGTAACAATTCCTAAGTTTCCAATTCCTTCCTTTTTAAACTTAATATTAAAAATGATTGGATTAAGTAAATGCTTTATATTGGAAATTGTAAAGAGAGCTCTATTAATAAAATAAATTGCATATTTGATAATGCTTATATTGGCTTAAGTTTATTTCAGTCTAGTAAACAAGAGAAAATTTTGTGATAGTTTCCTACTAGAAATACATATACATACTAGTACATATATTCTGTATAGCATAGCCCTTCCATCAACGCCCCAATCAAACCGCTCGACATCTATTATGACGTAGGTAGCCCCAGAGAAAAGATATTTTGAATTTCTATCCCTAAATAGCTAAAAATTATGGCAAAGATTTTACAAGAAAAAATATATTGGGGATACAAATAAAATGTTGCAGCCACTCAGCTACAATATATTAGTCTGTAAATTATATCTATACTAATAAATGGAGAGCCGATTTTTATGTTCGTTTATACTGCGCTAACTACTGAACCGATCGGAATAATACTTGTACCATAAGGTACAACGTATTTCGGAGAAGGTTTTAGTATATGATATGTTGGTGATCAATGTACTATGCGGGCGGAGCCACAGGAAAACGCTAGTTAATACATGAAATAACAAATTGTACTCTATGTAAAGTGTTAACTGTATTCCTTATACAGAATTACATCATGTATGATAAAAAGTATGCTTATCTATTGATTAATTAATAAAAATTGATTTTCACATCTATAGATGAGACGATATTTTACAATTTCTTACGAACAGAAAATGAAATACGAGTATATGTAATCATTTTTAGCTTTTTGGCTACTTTTTCTACTTTTAGCTAAAAATCTACATGTGAGGCTAACAGATACCTAAAAGTTAGTTACTACCTTTAGGAAAACACTAATTACACATAAATAAACTATACGAGTGGCGCCAAGGACAATAGATAGTGTATTTTTATACAAAAAAAATAACCTAATTTTAGTACACAAAGGATGTATAACATCTGGACTCTAAGCATTATACTATTAAATATTCATACATCACTGACCAGAATAGCAAAGTGAGAGGAGTGACTGAAAACCAGTAGAGCAAATGACCATGTTCGATACATTGTCACGTTATATGACAAAAGGATTTGAAATTGAAATCGAAGCGCGTGGAGACGTGCATGGGATTATTCGATTATTTTGAAATAGGTAGATACATGCTTTAACTGAAAGTACCGTCTGTTACTAATTTATTCTTTATTGCCACTAGTTTGTTCTTTAAGATAAAAAAAGTCAGCTCAAGTGACAATTTAATGGTAAAAATGTAGTAAACAAGAGTGCGACTTGCCCGTTATCAATAACCGTACAAGCTATATATGCTTACATGCCTGGCTCATAATTCAGGCATGGCCAAGTGCGAGGGTTAGATCTCCGGTGCTCTCAAAAGGGTCTCTCATCTCAAGGGTATTTCATATAGTCGGATAGGACTTCAAATTATTAAAGTTGCATGGCTCTTTATTTTACTTTTGTGACAGTACCTTATGTACCTAAGCTCTCTCCTGTCATAGTTGGTCGGTCGGTCAGCACAAATCTCTATGTGCTCGACACATACGTCTTAGTGATATTAGCCATCGTGCCCAAAATTGCATGGAAAGATTATTAAGTCTTATTAATAACTAGCGGCTCATCCTCGCTTCGCTCGGGTTCTCTTCTAGACATACAAAAAAAAATCTAACCCACGGGAACCGTACATTTGGATTGACGCTGAATTTGTGAAACAAAAAACTGGATTTCTGCTATTTCTCTTCTTACATCCCCCTGACTCAGTTTTTAGCATTATTTTTTTTCTATTTACAGACATTCGACCTTTACAGTTTTATTATATTATGTATAAATATATAGATAGATCTAAATAACTATTTACAATAATCTTAGTATAAATAAAAATATGTTACTTACTTATTTTATTGATTTTTTTTATTTCTTATCTTTATTATTTTATCGATTTACTATTTCATAAATAATTTTTTTTAACTAAAAAAGTACACAGGTGACTTCAAACTCATTTTACATATATCTTTAGGAGTAGAACTTTTTCTCGAAATTTATTTGAGGCTTACTCTATTCTTAAGAAAAATATTATTAAACTCGATTCATAATTGGCGAAGGTATCACGTAATAAACACCAAAAATGTTCATTTTTTGCTTCACCAAATTCATATATTCCTCATTTATAAAGTCGGCTAAAAATAGGAATGTCTCTAATAGGCATTCTCATTTTTTTAAATAAAATATCAAAATTTAAACGGGCATCGGGAAGAATTCATATACGTTTAATATTCCCAAAAACCAGAATAAGTGCTCAGGTGGACACGGTAGCTAAAAGCGATTCCCTGTAGCTGTAATGTTGTGAGTACTCATTTATCACTAGATGTACATGCCCCCTACATTAAACTAAACTGCTACTTTTTTATTACCTTTAACATCCTGTTTTACAAAATTTGGGCCAAGGACACTGGTAATGGCATAAAAATGGTTGTTTATCGTATAATTGGACCCAGTTATGCAAAAAACAGTCATGTGCGTAAAAGTACCAACAGAGTTATAAGCATTTTTCTGTCGATAGTTGCACTTGGGTTATGTTTTGTTTTTCTGTTTATTTTAAAATTGAACAATATTTATATAAGTATTGTTTATTTTTTATAAATATTTTATTTTTAATAATAAAATGCTTGTAACTCAGTTGGCACTTTTATGCACATGGCTGTTTTTTTGCATAACTGGGTCCAATTTGTGGAGACAAGTTTGCTTTTCACGTAAAAGTTTGTTTAAAACCAAAGGCTCAGGTGGATAGAATGGATAAAAGCGATTCCATGTAACACCGCAGTGCGAGCACACATTTATCATCTAGTGTTTTCATATCGCGATTAAGACTACCTATTTTAATTCTCCATTTCCTTGTACGAAATATATAGTATCAAATTATTATAAATGTTTATGAAGATAAGAGTTAAATTTTCAATAATCAGATCTGAAAGCTATTTGTATGATGAATAAATTAAAATTTTACGTTTTGTAAAATCACTTTATAAAGATAATGATAATAAAAACTCAATCGATAATAAAACAAAATTACCCAAACAATGCTTATAATTTTACTATTTGATATTAGTCCACTTCTATTGGTTTTAAGTGAATGAGGGCAATTAATAAACAAAGTAAATCGTCATCAAAAACTTCCTACAGTCAGCTTTACTCCGTAATGAAAACTAAATACGAAATCTTTTGAAGAGCCTCACAAATACAGGTCTTTGTTCAAATTTTTCAGTAACGTCAGAACGGGTGATTCCGGTTAAAATATCTACATTTTTTACGGGCTTACTTGAAACGACGACGTAAATCCGTACTCTGAAAGCCCGCCCTCACCATTTTCCTCTCGTGTGTACAGTCTACTATTGAAAGAGTTATTCCAGCCCCACGAAGGTTCACACAAAGAGGCTTTTATCGCTGGGGCGGACGCGCGAAAGTGCCGCTAGCCGAACAAAATCCAGCACTACATGAATACTGCTAAGTAGGTTAACGTATAATACAGTAATTTACTCAGGAAATGTGTTTAAATACATTAAACTTGCGGTAGTTTTGTTAGCAAAGGACAGTTTTGTAGAGTCACAACGTAGCGTACTTTTATATTATAATATTTTAATGCTTAACAATCATAAAGAGCTTACTGTTGGCACATAACAGTAAAGAATAAAAAAATAATATTTAATTGCAAATGGTGACAACTTTGTATTGCCCTCTCTTCTCTTAACCGCTGTATAGATTGTACCGATCCTTCGCCAACTACGACTATCATATTAAGCCAAAGGTTTTTTTTTTTTGTTTTTTCCAAATCACGGCATAAATAGTTTTTTGCTTTATAGATACAGAGAAAACTAAATATAACACCCACTTCGGCTCTC